AATTTACAATTTGTTCTGTGCCGACGTTTTTTCGTTTGACCTCATTCAGGGTATTATTTGTTCTACGGCCTTTTTCAGAGATCTTATTTAAATGGTTACTAAATTTGTTTGTTTGATTGTGAATGAACACGTCTGAGACTGGAAGCACAGGACTTAGCCTCTGAAAATAGAAAGAGATGTCCAGGCCGCTGTAGCTATGACTGTACTGCCGAAGGAGCTCACTATCATTTGCTGCAAGATGACACACAACAGAGGGGACAAGGACGTGCTAGGCTTCACAGCCAAGCTTGTATGCACCCAATGACTGAACACATTCTGCAACAATCTTCTATTCCCGTGAAGTTAAGACAGAGATAAAAATGACCCTTTTAGTTACAGACTAAAAGTTTGATTTGAACAAAGGGATATAACTCTGTTTTATGTACAAAAACGTGCCGTTTATTAACAATTAAAATACTTTAATAATATCAATTCCTATAACAATTAATTCTTGTAACACTCACCTACAAGACATGCAATCTACATCATCAAACAACATGCTCAAAACCGTTAACATCACAGTCTTTATGATCTGATCCTATCTGGACTGATTTAAGCGTATCTGATTCACCTTTTTAGGAGTCAACATTGGGCATACCATCTCCCGTTGGAAATGCCTTAAGATGGAAATGCTAACTTCTTGAAGCACCCTGATTTTAAACTCAGCGTCATCTTCCATTTATGATTCTCACTGCCTGATCCGCACCTGATTCCTCGTTCACACACTCTTACATGCTATTTCAACTAGCCTCATATGTTCTATCAGCATTTGTTCATAAATGGTCTTCAGAATGTCTCCTCTGTCTAGTGTGAGTGTTCCTGTAGCTATCACATTTGTAGCCAGAAAATCTGCTCTTTCATTTTCTCACATTCCTGCAGACCATAGATTGTATATCCATGTGATTCCTGCAGACCATGGATTGTATATCCATGTGATTCCTGTATTTTTCATGCCTGAGATCAAAGGCATCATCCAGTATGATCCTACTAACCCACCCATACTGGACAACAGTTACCTGGCAACCGTTCAATGCCACATTATAAGATTTTTACAGCTGAACCGGGTTTCTGGGAATAGCTCATGTTCTTCACATTTGAAAAGTGGCACTTTGAGTCACTGGGTGCTAATCTTTTAGACTGAAATCTTGGAAGGGTAGAGTTGGAGGGGAGGGAACGGAACAAATACTTTAACAACAGGATTGTAGGCTTCACCAAGCTAGTGTAGCCGTTACAGGAAGCCCAATTATATTTCTGTTAGAAGCTGAATGAGGTATCCGGGATTTACCATCCAGGATGCGATTACGGAAATCTCAGGGCGGTAAAATTCTCAGATAGCAGTCTGCAGGCGAGAAAAACAAACGGAGGAAAGGAAGGTGCCATAAATATGATTAACTGCACTTGACAACAAGATTCGTCATCTGATGCAGCTGTTATACAGGTCCTAGTCACCATATGCTTGCAGTTTGATTGGGGTATGTGGGATTTGCTCTTGTGGACTGCCATCCAGACTGTGACTCTTCTGGCTGGAACCACTTCTAATTCTTCAGGACAGGTATCACATCAAAACTCACATTTTTTTAAATGTATTCTCAATTGGGAAAGAAAAGGGGAAACGAAAGTTATGAGTTACCCAAATATAATAACATCTTGACTTGATAAATCCTACATTATGCCACATATGCTAAAAATAACACAATACCCCTTTTATCTTGTAAACATTTTTTAAGGGGTTATGAACTTGGTAATACCTGCAAATAAAATCCTGAAATAAACAACCAGTTTACAAATGTCACTAAAATGTGTAAAATAATATTTGTATATAGTTAAATGCTGGGTCTCAACACAAAAATGTAGCTCAAACTGGGATCTCATCACAATTCTAACATTAAAAATACAGGAAACCTTTCATTAGCCATTCTGTCCACAAGGTCCCCCCCCCCTCCCCAGCTATTTTTAGTAAATATATTCATATCCTAACCTCCTAAATGCTGTAAACGCAACCAATGGCATTAACTAGTCTTCTCGGGAGCAGGCATCTTTAACGGAATTGAGCCACTGACGGACATGCCATGTTTGTAGCTTCTTGGGACAAAAGGGTGAAAGACTTACAATTATTGATGAAGATGATGTTACTACGCAAGACACAGCCAACTAAATTTTCTTAGAGTTCACTAAGACTCACTTATGTTAACAATAACATTTGGTAAAGTTCAATGAAATCAAGAAATCTTATATAACCTTCTAACTTTATAAATCAGTGAAACTGATCACATCCCCCTTGCGGTCCAAGTCTGTAGAAATGTGGGCTTAATTATTACCACAGGTCCAGTGACCTGCAGACTGACATGTGTTCTTTACTTGTCACTTTTGTATCATCATCATCATCATCATCACCACAGAGCAGGCCGTTTGCAACAGGTATCAATCTTTTTCCAAACATACTAGAGTCCTTTGGAGTAAACACAGGCAGATCAAGCAAAGATTATGCTGCGTGTGCAACACATTGGCTCTACAACACTGGCTAAAGTGTGTGTTATAGATGGGGGCAGACAGAGCGAAAGGTCATGCTGCGTGTGCAACACATTGGCTCTACAACACTGGCTAAAGTGTGTGTGTTATGGATGGAGGCAGACAGAGCGAAAGGTCATGCTGCGTGTGCAACACATTGGCTCTACAACACTGGCTAAAGTGTGTGTTATGGATGGGGGCAGACAGAGCTAGAGATCATGCTGCATGTGCAACACATTGGCCCTACAACACTGGCTAAAGTGTGTGTTATGGATGGGGGCAGATAGAGCAAGAGATCATGCTGCGTGTGCAACACATTGGCTCTACAACACTGGCTAAAGTGTGTGTGTTATGGATGGGGGGCAGACTGAGCAAGAGATCATTAGCTCTACAAAACAGGTAAAGGTGTGTGTTATGGATGGCCATGAGCTGTGATTTCTATGCCTCTCTTCAGCACAATAAAACACTATCGTCTAGAAAGACAGAAAGGTTCCAACCAACCATCCATTGATCACAAACTATCAGAAAGAGCCTTGGACTTTCACCAGTTCTGCTGCCTCAAACATTTTCAGAAAAGCCAGTTTTTAACAGTGTCTAACCAGTAACCATCTAACACTCGACACAAGCTGCAATCCTATCTAAAATTAGCAAACATAACAACATACAGATATTTAGCCTCCCATCCTGAGAAAGCAGTTTTTCTGCCTTTCATGGGTTTTAGTTCAAATGATGTCTCTGGACAATGGTTATATTAACCCCACACACATTTTTTAGGAGGAAAGGGGGGGGGGGGGGGGATTTATGGGTTAAAGACAAAACATAGGACTTTTAACAAATGTGAACTCTCACATCATATAATTCCATTATTATGTCAAATTGCACTTTGTGGTAACATGACCAAAAAACATTTTTAATGGTCAAAGGGAAGAAATCAGTTACTTCTGTTTGTATTCAGTTATTATTTCCCTTGATGTAGAAAATGCCCATTTACCCTAGTACTCATTATTTCAGAGGCCCAATATGGGGGCGGGGAGGGGGAAGGGGGGGGGGAACCTAGACTCAATGCCCCCCGCCTGCATCTGCCTGGAAGGCAAGGACCAATGGCCTGCCTACCAATAAGCCAGATTTGTAAAACAGATGTGTAGGCCAACCCCACGTCCTGGAACAAGACTAAAGTCTAGAAGTGGATGAATAAGCAGAACTTCTCAAGGGAGTTTTTTTATAATTTAATTTACGTCCTTTTTAGGATGAAATTTTTCTTTATTTGAAGCCCTACTCTGGCTTTTGCCAGGGGCCGCAATATAGGCAGGCCATAAATGTGGCCAATTGTCTGAACGCGGTTTCTGGGACCTCTCTACGGCGATCCTCATCCACATGGTGGCACTTTGTGTCATCGGGTGTTTATCGCTTGTGTGATGTCCTAGTGGGGTAGAAAGTCAGTCAGTCAAGGGAGTTTCACAGCTGGTGGAAGAACAAGATATTTAGTGGCTGAGAACACCCCCCCTCCCCCCCCCCCCCCACACACACACTGATATCTTTAAAAGGCAGAGACTTCACATCTGGCCATCTTTCTCTTTGGTCTAGGGATTCAACCCCCTGGTTATTTACACAAACTGACCAAGACTCCACATTTCTTCCACTTCTTTTCTTTTTCTGTTTTCTTAGGGCAGAGATTCAGAGAATTATAAGGATAAGTTCTTCAACAAGATTAAGACGGGAAAACAAGATTTTTAAAGATTCGCATGGGATGAAAAAGTTAATGCCCTCTACATACTTGTGACAAGCTCCTCTTCTTCTGTTTTCATCATTAAAAGAGAGTTGGCATCTGTGTTGTGGTTTAAAGCTGGGGTGTGATAACCGTTCTTAAGCCCAAGATATCGAATTTCAGTACCAGACTGCAAGAACAAGATGTTAAGAAGGGTGTGGCCAGACAAGAGTGCTATGCAGGAAGCCAAAGAAGAATAAGAAAACAACAGAGAACTGGAGTCGTGAGCCGCTACACGCTGCAGGATTTACTGAGGAGGGGATTTGAGCACTTATGGACTGAATGGTTCGACGTGCAATGAGGATAATCTGTTGACTAACTAACTATCTAATTTGAGTAAACCTCTGATTAGTTGATAATGTGACTGCTAGGGGGACAGTGGGTCCATATCTTGATCCCTCCATGAGGGAGCCAATCATACAGGGACTCACCAGCTCTGGTCAACATCATCATCATGTAGAAGCCACAATTATTGCTAAAAAAAGAACAACTCACTCTACAGCAGCAAAATGTCAACAGAAACAATCAAGAATACAAGTTCAGTCAACAACAAACAGCAGTCTGTGTGTCTGACTCCAGGAGTCAGTCAGACTAGCAAAAACAACTCAAACAAACAACTCAAACAAACAAACACTGCTCCAGAAGCTCTCAAGTCTCGTTTGATGCGCAGCTCCAGATTTTCTTTGTCCTACTTCTTTGCTTCTACCATGGCAAAATCTTCAGGTAATGTCCTATAGATCCACGTTCCATCAACTTTCTTGAAATACTGAAGAGCAAAAAAAAAAACAATTTCTAAACATAAATATTTTCTTCTTTGAAAAAAAAAAAATCAGTCTGGAAAATAAATTATGAAAAAAAAATGTCCAGAAATTACTTTGTGCTTGTCAATTGAAAATATCAACTGACAGATTTGCGGTCATCATCATTATGAAGTGTCCTGATATCTCGTGTGAACAATAATGTTCCTGTTCTCAAGCATGATGCAACAACTGAGACAGATTTCATACTTAGCCAGGAGGTAAATGAACAAATGAACACTTTATTTTCTCAGGGATTAAAATTGGACACAAGATCTGTCTTATATATGGCCCTTCCAAACAGGCATCTTCCACACAGTATAAAGCATGTTATGTTCATATGACAATATACGTAATCTGAATTTAAAGTACGAGGGGAAGTCAATAAGTCAGTCAAAAATAATTATTTTGAAGGAAAAAAAAACCAAAAACTAAAGGCGACAACAACTTGAAAACTGTTTAATTTTACACATACACCATCCCTTTATTTTTCAACATAATTTCCACCACCACTGATGCACTTGTCCCATCGTTTAATCGGTCCTTCCATACCTGCTGCATAGAACTGCATGCTCTGTTTTCTCAACCACATTTTCACTTCACATTCAACTTCTGCGTCATTCGTGAAATGTCTCCTGCCAAGGTAGGTTTTCAGTGGACCATTATGTTGTATGCTGAACCATGTGAGCACCCTAATGCAGCTGCTACAGAGTCAACAGTTACTCACCTGCCACCTCTAATCATCTCCTCCACCCGTTGCACGGATGCGTCAGTTGCAATCTCAACAGGACGACCAGATCAAAATTCCTCAACAATTTTAGACATCAGAACACGGAAGATCATCACAGTCATTAGTGATTAAGAGTACAGAAGACAGAAGGTTGTGGCTAGAGATAACTAAAAATGCCACATAGCATGGACTGCAAGAAGGAGAAAAATTTGGAAGTGAAGACGGGAACACTCAAAAAGGCAACATTAATCTAATAACCATAAAAATGATACAAAATGGAAACAAACCTTTGGTGAATATTCCAGATTTAGATTACGTCTGCGCTTTTCATCTTCTCTCTGTATTTCCTCCAACTGCAAATGAAAACATTTGATTTTGTGATTTGATTGATTTGTTTCGAACAACAGATCAAAATCATGGCACAAGGGTAGTAACCCATAAGTGCTCCATTCTACATCTAACTCAAACCTGAGTCTGAAGTCTTAGCGCAGTGCACAAACTCCATAGCACCGGCAAGGATCCTGAACTATTTTGGGTAGATTTTAAATTCTAAACTTTTCCCCGGCTACTCTTTTAGATTTCCAACTGCCGAGGGATTTTTAACGTGCACAACAATACACACAGGCGTCCGATCTTACCACCCAGAGACCAGGGGAAATTACTAAAAGTCCAAGTGAAAAAATCCCAGTCATCACCGGGCCTTGAACCAGGGACCTCCAGCACTCGAGGCAGACACCATGCCTCAAGACCACTCAGCCCCTGGATGTTTGTGATTTCACGCTTGGCTTGTACTTCTTGTCTGTCAGGTTTGAACTGAGTCATCATCACCAGTTGTCAGTACATCAAGCTGACTTCTTCTTCACTTCCTGTTTTATCACCTCAGGTTCGAGGGTTCTGCTTAGTGCTCTTCTGGCCACCTCCACCACAGACACATGGTGCTGTTCTAAAGGTTCCCTTACGTTATCTTTCCATTTTGTTCTTGGTCTACCTTGTGCACTATGCCCTTCTCTTTTGGTGTCTACTTTGTATGCTGTCACAAGGCATTGTAAGCTGTCACAAGGCATTTTATCTAAGTGGGCAAACCATTTTATTTGCTGCCTGTATATATGTTGTTAGAATTCGTTCTGTTGTGGCTTTTCTCTTATGACCTCATTTCTGATCTTACCTCTTCTAGTCACTTATGCAGCCCTTCTCAGATACCTCATTTCCATGATAAATGAGACATCTAAGGGCTGTACAGGAGTGAACAATTTGATGCTACAGTAACAACAGAAACAACACTAACAAACAACTATCAGAAGGTGACAGACATTTTTTCATTATCATCATGTGCCCTGCGCATAAAAGGTAAGCGGCCACGTTTCAGTTTCTCATACGATCACAAATCAGGTGAGTACTTTGGTCCCCTCTCCTACAGCCCCACATGGCAAAGCCGTTAGGTTATTTATCTCTTTCCCTTGCTCTTCTTCCATGACTTCCCACCAAATCAAGCTCCAATAGAATGAATCATCATAAGGCCTCAGTTCATTCAGATGTACACTACTGGTTCTGTTCAGCTATATGGCTTAGCCCTTGCAATCCCCGATGTTTACCAGGGTTTGATACTATGTTAGGCTGTTCTCCTGGCATTCAGACAGTGGTACGAGAGTCACACCACAGAAGAGCTTCATTCACCACAGATTCCCCACAGTCAGCAGTGGGTAGAATGCTGCCAGCATCAATTTTAGGGAAGGCACAAATTTGTTTTTACATTAATAAACTATATAACAACCATAATAACAACAACAACAACAAAAAGCACACTATCAAATAGTTACATTTACATCAAAAGAAACCATTTGTAAATGTTACCATCTGTTTATGTTCCGTGGCTGTCTGTATGTCGTTCAACTTTAAGGCATTGGTCACATGTTGCCAAAGTTTGCGGGACTCGTACTCTTTCTGTTTGTCTAAAGGCCGGACATACTTGCGGTAAACATTTAAAGATTTCACATCCACATATTTAGAAGCAGCCTGCAGAAAGACATAACAATGTCTAATCAGGCATCTTCACAATACTTAATGTTTAACAATAACAATCAGCGGCATCTGCGACAGAGTGATTAGTTTGTCTGCCTGCAGCAGCGATGACATCAGCGACAGAGTAATTAGTTTGTCTGCCTGCAGCAGTAAAGACCCTGTGACAGAGTGATTAGTTTGTCTGCCTGCAGCAGCAATGACATCTGTGACAGGGTGATTAGTTTGTCTGCCTGCAGCAATGACATCTGTGACAGAGTGATTAGTTTGCCTGCCTGCAGCAATGACATCTGCGACAGGGTGATTAGTTTGCCTGCCCGCAGCAGCAATGACATCTACGACAGAGTGATTAGTTCGTCTGCCTGCAGCAGCAATGACATCTGCGACAGGGTGATTAGTTTGTCTGCCTGCAGCAACAATGGCATTTTGCGACAGGGTGATTAGTTTGTCTGTTTGCAGCAGTAATGACACCTGTGACAGAGTAATTAGTTTGCCTGCCTGCAGCAGCAATGGCATCTGTGACAGGGTAATTAGTTTGCCTGCCTGCAGCAGTAATGACACCTGTGACAGAGTGATTAGTTTGCCTGCCTGCAGCAGCAATGACATCTGCGACAGGGTGATTAGTTTGCCTGCCTGCCTGCAGCAGCAATGGCATCAGCGACAGGGTGATTAGTTTGCCTGCCTGCAGCAGCAATGACATCTGCGACAGGGTGATTAGTTTGCGTGCCTGCAGCAACAATGGCAATTGCGACAGGGTGATTAGTTTGCCTGCCTGCAGCAACAATGGCATTTGCGACAGGGTGATTAGTTTGCCTGCCTGCAGCAACAATGACACCTGCGACAGGGTGATTAGTTTGCCTGCCTGCAGCAGCAATGGCATCTGCGACAGGGTGATTAGTTTGCCTGCCTGCAGCATCAATGACATCTGCGACAGGGTGATTAGTTTGCCTGCAGCAGCAATGACATCTGCGACAGGGTGATTAGTTTGTTTGCCTGCAGCAATGACATCTGTGACAGAGTGATTAGTTTGCCTGCAGAAGCAATGACATCTGCGACAGGGTGATTAGTTTGCCTGCCTGCAGCATCAATGACATCTGTGACAGAGTGATTAGTTTGTTTGCCTGCAGCAATGACATCTGTGACAGAGTGATTAGTTTGCCTGCAGAAGCAATGACATCTGCGACAGGGTGATTAGTTTGCCTGCCTGCAGCAGCAATGACATCTGTGACAGAGTGATTAGTTTGTTTGCCTGCAGCAATGACATCTGTGACAGAGTGATTAGTTTGCCTGCAGAAGCAATGACATCTGCGACAGGGTGATTAGTTTGCCTGCCTGCAGCATCAATGACATCTGCGACAGGGTGATTAGTTTGTCTGCCTGCAGCATCAATGACATCTGCGACAGGGTGATTAGTTTGCCTGCCTGCAGCATCAATGACATCTGCGACAGGGTGATTAGTTTGCCTGCAGAAGCAATGGCATCTGTGACAGAGTGATTAGTTTGCCTGCCTGCAGCATCAATGACATGGGTTATATTCGAGGCAATGGAAGTATTTTACAGACAGGTCAAGAGTTAACTGTCTGAGAAGTAAAATAAAAACATACAATGGTCCTCAAGTGCCATGCTGTTTTCTTTCTTTTGTCTAAAGTGTCTGCCATGAGTTAACTCCTTCAGTCCCACAAATATGGCAGCAGATGCTAAATGTGGCAATAATTACAATGAAGAACACATCAATGTCTTACTTCTGACACTAAGCCTATACTGTGTTGCATGTTCAAATATCTAGACAGATTTCTTTTATCTACTCAGACCAAACATGACTAATATAATAAAATATAATGTGTTGCTTGATGCACAGGGATAAAAGCTGATCACATGAGGTGCCTTACTTGGGACATGAAGAGTTAATACTCAAAAATATTTTGACAGTTTGTTATTTCACATTCTGTAAATGCACACCAACAGAAACTTCTTCTACTGCCTCTATCTCCCTAAAAAGTACAGCTGTTCACCGACCCACTCTAAGTCTTTTGTAGTCTTGTTCATAACTGACTGGATTTTAAAGCTAAAGTTTTTTACAAGTAAAGGTAGTCTTGTGCCTATCTGCCTAAGTGTCTCTTATGGCATGCATGATGGCTTACACTAATACTATTTTCTGCTTTCACTATGGGCTCTGTTAACACTAGAGGTGTGATTGTTCTCACTTTTTCAGTTATACTGACTGCAGTGGTTCTTAAACTGAGACTAGAATTTCTATTGGCCAAAAACCTGGAACACCTCATCGCAGCGTGGCCTTGAACCTCCAGACTGGCCCATTATTTAAGTAGCACAAAACCCTTCTTCAAGTGTGAAGATGTACAACCAATGATCTATATCCCACTGATTTCTGAGCTGTGAAAGAAGGACAGCCCTGCTAGTTTCTGGTGACCTGGTGACTTAGTGCATCGGCAGAGGATCTACATCAACTCCACTCAGACAGATAAGATCTTCTTAGAGCTCAGAGCATCTCAATATTAATGCCCCCCCCCCCCCCCCCCCCCCGTCAAAATGAGCTATTAACCCGTGGGAATTAGAGAAAAAAATTCTTAAAATTTGTCAAAAGTATATGAAGATATGTAAAGAACTAATCAAGAAACATGGAATAGCTGGAATACATTCCTTGAGGCCTCTAAAATTATGTGTAGGTAACTTAAGCTGCTATTACTGAAACTGGGAAAAATCTAATGTCATAATGGCTTTTAAAAAAGTCATTACAATCACAAGAAAATATCCCTAAATCCTAATTTTAGCAAATATATTCACATCCTAACCTTCTAACTGCTGTACAGGAGCAAACATAACCAATGGCACTAAAGGCCATTGTAGAAAGAACTAGCCCTTCCCAGGGTCAAAAAGCTTATATTTTATTCAGAGAATTCACAACCAAACCAAGCATTCTAATTATAACCAAATAACTTCTTGATTTCTTCAACATGCAAGTTTGCAAACACAGCAATTTTAAATAAGGAAATAAACAATAATGAATACCAACTCATTAAAATATTCCTCAGTTCTCAAATATATAGCTGAATTTATAAAATAATTTATGAAATAGACATAAATTCAAGAAAAATGAAGCTAAACGAGAGAAAAACACTTTCTAATCTCCAAAAAAAAACATAACTACTTTCAACATTTAAGAAAAAAAGAGGAAAAGAATGGAAAATCTGTTCTTGAAACTGATTTTAAAAACCAAACACTGAAATAAAAACTGTCAGAAATGAAAGCAAATGTCAGACGTGCGACAATATTGACCAACCAAATCGCCTCCACTGGAGTATCTTCGCCTCTTCTTCTGTAAAAAAGTGTCAGGTGTACCGTAAACATCAAGACCTACTTCAACAGGTAAAGAACTGAGATGGCCAGTCAAACAGCCTACACTTCTTCTTCGGACTCACTCTCAAAAGGGCAGCTGACACATTGTCTTGTGGTTTACAGCTAGGCTGTGATATCACTGCTTTCAGCCCAACACATCTGATTTCAGCAAATTCTTGATTCATCACCTTTCACAACATGCTTGTGAAGGGGCAGTGGATCTTTTCCCCCCATGAACCCCCCCCCCCCCCCCCCCCCCCGAAACCCATATACAGGGAACAGAATATTTGTACAATGTGTGATTCTTGCTAAAATAGAGAAAATCGACAAACACTTCATATATTCAAATATATTTACTGGTTTAAAGCTCTACACAGCCTTGGACTGCTGCCTCCTTCTCGTGGTGAGCAACTTAGTAGTAAGTAAACAGGCAAGTCAGTCAGCCCCTGGGGACCATGGCGTTGTGCCTCTGGATTTGAGAACAGTGTCTGCTACGACTGGAAAGTCTAATGAAGGAGTCACAGTAGTGTGCCATTGCTTTCTGGACAGTCGGCCACCTGATACCACTGTGAAAACCAACGCAAGGTTCATGGCCCGCAGCTGGGATCAAACCCGGCACCCCAGCATTACGAAGCGTTCGCATCGATTTAGCCACAGAGCCAACAGTCCACATAAACCCGCTGATAATCTATCGTTCTGTGGCTGGTTTTCTTTCAGAAGTCTATTCACTATAGCTTGATACACTTGGTCTCTTGCAAACTGTGATAGTCTGTCTTTCACCGCCTCTAAAGTAGTTGGTCCTCAAATTTCTGTGTCAATGTTGATATCTTTAAAGTTGTGTGTCCATTTGCTTATAGCAGAGCACTGACCTTCCCGCAGATCTTATCCCTGTTGCCATCTGACCATACAGGAGATCCTTTGGGCTGTGAGAGATATGACCCAACAAGCAAAGGCATCTCTGCTTAAGTAGAAGCTGTAGTGTTGGCATTCCAGCTCTTTCAAATACACATTCACTGGGCACAACATCTTGCCATGATATAGCAAGAATGTGTCTCATATAGCGCATATGGAAAGCAACTTAGTAAAACACAGAAACAAACAAGAGGGAACCCTTGAGGCTGTAGAAAGTATAACAGACTGACATTTATTGACTGGCAATCATGGAAATTAGCAGACAGAGAGGAGACACCCTAGACAGGTGTTGCGGTCAACATCGTGCTCACTGTATTACTTGACAGGACTTTACCTGGTAGACACTTTAAGCTGTGTTGACCACAGAGATAAGGTCAATTTTGAAAACAGGTAAACCCATCTCAGTGTAGATTCAAACCCAAGACCTTTGGGCAGGCATGTAAGAATCTAGCCATGACACTGTTTTGGCTCCTAAACAACTCACAGGGGATTTTTAAAAAAAAAAGGAACAACTGCATAAAAAATACTGTGTCATTTGCAAGAAATGCGCATACAACCTGTACTGGCAGACAGCGCATACAACCTGTACTGGCAGACAGCGCATACAACCTGTACTGGCAGACAGCGCACACAACCTGTACTGGCAGACAGCGCACACAACCTGTACTGGCAGACAGCGCACACAACCTGTACTGGCAGACAGCGCACACAACCTGTACTGGCAGACAGCGCACACAACCTGTACTGGCAGACATTCAGAATGTTTATGAGAAGCCACAGCAGTTTAACATCTAGACACTCATTTGCCAGGCTGATTGTCAAGGGTTTAAATCTGCATTAAGATGGATTTTTGTCCTCAAAATTGGACAATCGGTTGAGCACAAGTCTAAAATGGGTAACAGGAAATGTCCTGGGAAGTAAAAGTGGTGTAGCATGATGGTGACCTAATCACCAATCGAGTACTGTCTGGTCCATAAAACTGCAGGTCTAGCAGTTTACATATTTCTTGACCTATCTTAGAATGTTCATTCAAGGGAAATAAGTGTTAAAAACAGAACACACCAGGTACCACAGAGAATACTTCAAGGGGAACAACTTACGTTAGATGCTGTTAAGTATGTGAATTCAAATGCACTGTTCCACTCTCCACCCACTTTACAGATGATTTCCCCAGTCTTGATATTCTTGGCTTCAGCAGTTACATGATGCAGCTTGCCTCCATAGAAGGGCTGGCAACAGAAACAAAATGGAAGGATTAACCACTTCTTGCTCACATGCTTTGCAGTTAAAGTAACTGATGTCAAGACTATGTCCTATTTTCTCTCTACAGTCAAGGTTACATATATTCCTTACGTCCTTTTTAGGACGTAATTTTTTTGTTATTTGAAGCCCCACTCTGGCTTTTGCCAGGGGCCGCAATATAGGCAGGCCATCAATATGGCCAATTGTCTGAACGCGGTTTCTGGGACCTCTCCACAGTGATCCTCATCCACATGGTGGCACTTTGTGTCATCGGGTGTTTATCGCTTGTGTGATGTCCTGGTGGGGTAGAAAGTCAGCCAGTCAGTCAAGGTCAGCTTCTACTTTTCCATGGTACATTGTAAGAGGATGGCACACGGAGAGAGGGCGGCACACAATAAGCGGACCGCACAAGGAGAGAGGACAACACGCGGTGTTAGGACAGGGAGAGGATGGCCCTCTCAGAGAGGATGGCACACGGTGAGCGGATAGCACTGAGAGAGGATGGCACACAATGAGAGGATGACACACAATGAGAGGATGGCACACAGTGAGAGGATGGCACACAATGAGAGAATGACATACAGTGAGAGGATGGCACATAGGGAAAAGACCCAACTGACCTTTGTATGGAAGATGATATGTGCTGAAAGCCCAGTCTTCTCACAGACCATCTGCACCTTGTCCCCTAATTCTACCCAGGGGACTGTTAATATAGAACGAGCGTACGCACATGGCAAACCAAAAACATAGTCCTCTCCATGCTCCTCCAGACGTAAGCGTACTGTGGAAAGAAACATGGAAACTCAACGAAGAGAGAAGAAAGCAACCATTAATTTCTTCTTTGTATGCAATGACTATAAACTCCTGGAAAGGAGTGGTGGAAAGTTCTGGCTGTTCATCCACCACTCCTGGAAAGGAGTGGTGGAAAGTTCTGGCTGTTCATCCACTCCTGGACTTTAGTCTCGTTCTAGAACATGAGTTTAGTGTGCATATCGGTTTTACACATTTTGGCTAACTTTGTATGCAGACTTTTGGTTTCTCGCCTCTCAGGTAGATGAACTCCAACTTTGAAGGAAATACCCCAAATTAGTTGGCTGTTATGATACGCCTGTTGAAGTTAGGGCGCAGTGGGTCCCCCCCCCCCGGGTCCCAGGACCCACATAGAAAAAACAACCGCTGACCATGTTCATGTTGGGTTCCTCTGGTAGAAAGCCTATTGGACATGCCACCCTAACATAATTCTGTCTATACAGCTGCTAATAAACTTATTCTTAGCAGGCAGATGTTGACTGCTGCCACTCCTCTGGGTGGTGCTCTACTTTATGACACATAAAACTCACTGGAATCCAGTGCAGAGAACAGAGGAGCAGACAGCACATCTAAACTTGAAGGGATTGCTTAAGCATGGAATGAATGCAGAGAACTGGGATTTTAAAAGTCAGCCAGACTTTTAAGCTGGTTGTTACTGACATCCTTAACATGTAGGGGACCATAATATGTGACGATAAAAGCAGGACATTCCACTAATATTTAGGTCTGAAAACGTGACATACCACTAACACTTGGGGTTAAAAATGGGATGAAAACAGGACTCCCCAAGTAAGTCATTAACCCCCCCCCCCCCCCACATCCTTTTGCCCCCCTTCTTTCTAGGTCACCGGAGTAAAAGGGCTAGTTACTCGCTAGACAATGGTATTAGAACCTAAAACATTGCCACTAAGAAAAAAATTAAACTAAATGCCCTTTAATGCAAAACATGCTACATTGAAAATTCCCATTAACCCATTTCATGAATTAAAAATATCTAAAACCATGAAATCTAATAAGATCTGCAAATATAACAATAGGTGTATGTTCTATTATCGAGATAATTTTTATGAAACAGGAAAAAAAAACTTTTTTTTTTAGTACTGACAGGACAGCCGGGACAAACACACATAAAATCGGACTGTCCTGGTGAAAACAGGTCTATAGTCAGCCTATCAAGATTTGCAATTTTCATTCCTTTTTTCACCTGCTCTTGTACTGCTCCAGGTGTTCATGAATCTGCTGTGTTTAAGTTCTGTTCGAGCTAAAATTGGTTAAAGTCGAGAAGGCTGATCTCACTGCACTAGGTTTCATACCATATGGCTTGATCTCTCACCACAGAACGGCTAACCAAAAGTATCACAATAAAGCACAAACATCGTAGCTTTGGTGACGTTGCCCAGGGTTTTCTGAAGCTATTCTGGCCAACATAACCATAGAAACATGGTTGTAGTGAGTCATTTTCTCCTCATTAATTTATGCCCGATAGATGACGTCAGTAATAGATGTAAGACGAATGTTTTGACTGGCTGAGATAACACGAGATTTATGTCTTGAGTTTCATGAGAGACATCTGAAAGTCAGGTTTTATGTGAAACATGATTGTTCACAGGATTTGTGTGAAATGAATTATCACGGGCCAGACACGACTTTCAACAGTGGGAAATTCGTGAGAATGAATCCAGAATATTCTAGAACAGGATAGATCAGAGGGCTATATAATAGCGAAGAAAAGGTTTGTGAGCAGTCTCGTTTTGGACCTAGGAACAGTGTGCATGGACAGCGGTGGATGATGTGTAGATTCAGCAGATGTTTTTGTGAGTGAATTTGTTCCAGTCCAACTTGGCGAAAAAAGCTGGCCAGTAATATGTCTGCGGGTCGTCTGAGTTTGTCGGTCAGGACAGCTGCTGTGTTTCGTTCAAGATGTTAGTGTGATTGTGATTTCTGCTTGAAGGTAATATGTGACACTTGCATTATAATGTGTGCCTGGACAGTTGTCAAGTTCATGTGCCGGCTGTGTAAGCCGCGAGTGGAAGATTAAAGTACTGGAACAGTATCGTGTGTTTTTTCCAGTCGTCCATTTTTTTCTGCTCGTCGTGTGATGTCGGTTTTGTGAGTTGGCAGCGAGCGTGCGATGAGGCGAGCCAGTAGAAGATAAAAAGAGAATCATCGCAATGGTACAACTGGGAGCTTCTTCTGTGATGTTGAGTGCTTCTCCGATGCTGAGAGCTTCTTCTGTGATGTTGAGAGCTTCTCTGATGCTGAGAGCTTCTGTGATGTTGACAGCTTCTGATGATGAGAGCTTCTTCTGTGATGTTGAGAGCTTCTGTGATGTTGAGAGCTTCTGTGATGTTGAGAGCTTCTGTGATGTTGAGAGCTTCTCTGATGTTGAGAGCTTCTCTGATGTTGAGAGCTTCTCTGATGACTGATAACCAGATAAACAAACCAAGAGACAGACAGATAGATAAACAGAAAGACAGCTGCACTGACTGATAACCAGACAGGCAAACCAAAAGACTTCTGTGGAAAATCACTGTGCGGTATAAAGAGTTAATGAAGTCATGGCTTTGTGAAGCATGGGGACATGCAGGCATTCAAGGTGTTGTAGAGACAGACAGTCACAGAGACAGACAGTCACAGAGACAGACAGTCACAGAGACAGACAGTCACAGAGACAGACAGTCACAGAGATAGACAGTCACAGAGACAGACAGTCACAGAGACGTTCCCAAGAACAAAACTAATGACCACAACACCGAAGGGTGCAGAAGATGCTGCTAGCAGATGAGATTCTTATCTTACCTTTGCCAACCATGGAGACACCTATTGACAAGCCCATGAACTGGGACTTGGTGTATATGGATGCGTTCATTTTGATGCCATTGTGTGGACACTCAAAGTAAAATGCTGAAACTGTGGAAAGACAGCCAATTAAATAATATAATCTGTTACTGGTAATCTCTTCTTCTTCTTAACGTTCACCATCTGGACTTCAGTCTTTTTCTAGAGTTTGAATTTCGCGCCACATCCATTTTACAGTGGTTTGTGGTTTGAACAACGGATCAACATCATGGCACACGGGTAGTAATCCATTAGTGCTCCGTTCTTCTAACTCAAGTCTGAGTACGAAGAAGCTCAGCAGTGCACAGGCTCTGTAGCGCCGGTAAGGATTCTGAAACACTTCGGGGTTTTTTAAACTCCAAATTTTGCCCAGGCAGCGCCGTTAGGCTAATCTTTTCGATTTCCAACTACCAAGGGATATTTTTATGTGCGCAATAAAGCACATAGGCACTCGATTTCACTACCCAGAGACCAGGGGTAATTACTAGATGTCCAAGTCCACGTGAAAAAATCCCAGCCCTTACTGGGGATTGAACCTGGAACCTCTAACACACGAGGTGGACAGCATGCTTCAAGACCATGCATCTCCATTTTACAGATCCGGTTTATTTGTGTGCAGTCTTGTCAGAGATGCCAACACCAACAGTTACAATCCGAACCACAATTTATCAATGATGGAAGCAGTCAGTCACAGAAAGTTTGCTGTGCACAGGTAATAGCACTGCATAATGCACTTAGGAGCGCTTAAGGGAATGTCCTAAGCATTATGATGTCTGTCCTTAACTCTTAACTCAAGCAAAAGAAAAATAACATTTTTTTCATTTTTAAACAGATCTGAACAACCAGAACACTAGCCCTTAAACACTATCAGTGTCAAGTAGATTTAAATACTTTGCTCATTTGGAGGAAAAAAAAATGTAATTGCTGGCCTAGGATTGAAATCTGCATTAAATAAGAATTGTTGTCTTCAAAAACTGACCTTGGCTCCAAGGACAACCCAGCCTAAAATGTGTAACATATAAATGTCTTGGGAAATAAAGGCTGTCGGCCGGAGATCACATGACCCATTGAGTGCCGGCAAGTGTGTAAAAATAGAAATCAGCATCATGTACCCAATGTGCTAGTGGGTAAAACTGGGTCCTTTACTTACACCACTTTACTTACATCACTTCACCTGCCTCACTTCACTTACATTACTTTACTTACATTATTTTACTTACATTACAATACTTTACTTACATTACTTTAGTTACATATAAAGTCATATCAGCTGAGAAATAATGGCAATTGAAGGTGTTGTTTCTGGAAGAACAGGCAGGAATTGACCAATATGAACAGAGAACATTTAAGATACCCTGGGCATGAAGATGCATAAGACAAAGGAACTGGCAAAGGACAGGGAATCTGTCTCAAGGGTTTTGAGAGCAAATGATTTGCTATATGGTGATAGTAGATCAAACATACTAAGACAAGGCAAAGATATAATTAACCTAAGGAAGGTGGTTCATTTGTTAATATATGAACTAGTACATAAGATATGTGACGTAGCATATAAGTTGTTATGTGAGGTAGTAAACAAATTATGTAACAGTACACAAGTTGTTATGCTTGTTAGTACAGTATATTCTGCATTACCTGGGGGATGGTGTGACACCTGCTCCGCCGTGTATGTGAGGAGTGTGTCGGTGCAGTTCTGGACATGCCAGGAACAGTGGAATGTCTCTCCGATGATGGGGTTGTAGGGTTTCTTGGCGACGGAACCCTGTAAAAACATCAAAATGGTAAATAGTACAACTGCCAAACAGGACCACAGAAAGCACAACCATGAATTCATACATGACATTTAAACTATGTTACAAGTTGCAGAATAATTACAGTGGCACCTCGGAATTCAAACAAAATCCATTCCGAGACAGTGATCAAATTTCAAATTATTCAAGTTCCAGGGAAATTTTTCCAATCAAAAATAATGGAAACTACATTGATCTGTACCAGGGACCAACAAACTCAAATTTTAAAAAGTATCCAAATTTAGTAACAAATTATGATTATTAAAAAAAAAGCATATATAAAAACATTGATTTTTACTGTAACCTGATAACAATTATGCTGAGTTAAATAACATAAATGGAGTTGATCTTCAATGCTTCAACAATGCATGGCAGATAAAGATGAGACAGGAAATCAATAACTTGGAAGTCAGCAATTGGCTGAACCTGGTAATGGGTTTCACAAAGTCAAAGGTAATATGCAGGCAGAACCGGTAAGGAAGCAACAGTTTGCATGAGGAGAACAGTCAGTGATTTCAGGCATGCTAAGAATAACACAACTAACCGGTCTTCCATTGTGGAAAGAGGTGAGGTACCACTCTAAGACAGCCAGGAATCTGCCCTCGGGGTCAGGTATTTTAGGAATCCTGTTGAGATTGTAACACAGATTTGTTTAAAGTCCAGGCTTTTGTGTTTGCTTTTAGTTTTTAAAATAACAACTCTGGATACACACACAACTCACAAAAATATTACCATTGTTTGTGATTCTCTATCTGTATGAAAGTTATCCTGCTACATAATTACCTGCACTGCCAACAAACTGTCAAGACATGTGACAGGCAGAAAGTGTGGCCATTCATGGTTTGTCAACATATTCTGGATCTTGTCTCTGTAATTAATCAATTATGCCATTGGATATGATTCAGACATTTAGCTTCTTATCCACCACTTAGTCATCACCATTGATGTTTGCCAACTGCTGAACATGTTCAAGCTTATTTCTTCTTGCATGTCCACACAATTGTAGTCTGGAAGCACTGTAATTTGGAAAACATACATTACAATTGTTTATGTAATTATGGAGCAGCAGTCTGTAAAGCTGAGACCACCACTAGACCCAGTGACAGAAAGTGTCAGTGACCACTGGCAGCCTATGTTCATCATCAATGGTGCTTGACCGATGTAATGAGTTTTACAAAAGGTGACAGACACTTCAGCTTGGAAAAAAACAAATAATTAGCGCACATGAAGATGACAAATTTAGATATTATTATGTACACAGCCTACAAGAGAGATGGTTTAGTGTTGAAGGTATTTACCCCATCTTAGTGCTACTGTAATTGTGAAAATGTCAATTTAAAGTTAAAAGTCTTGAGGACTGACTTCACTAGGTTATCCTGTCTTGCTCAGTTTTATGACATGGCTAGCCACCTAATGAGTGTTGCATCAAGTATGCAGTAGCTCTAGCGACAATCCCTAGAGATCTCTGTAAAAAAGTGCACTTGCAAACTGAATGAAAGATCTGTGAAACAAACCCATGACCGTCAGAGCGCAAAGCTAACGGCTTGACTCCTTTGCCATGGAGGCGCCCACTCAAACACTATCTGGGACAGGAATTAGTTTAGGCACAAAGTGATTTAAGTTAAATTAATAACTGTATTCTGTCGCTTGTGCAATAAATAGCAGATCCATAAATAAAGTCACCATGACTGATGACTTAAGTCAAACTCACTTGAGAAATGCATCTGGATGGGCCATACAATCAGCAAACATCTCAAGTAAGGACCTCCGTTCTAAAATAAAGGTTGGCAGGACCACCTGGAAGAAAGATGATATAAATTCCAGAAACATGATATAAACTCCAAAAAGATGATATAAATTCCAGAAAGATGACATTAATTGCAGACAGGTGATATAACTGTATATATGTAGCGGCACATACACAATATAGTCCCACACCTTCTGGTAGTATTTTTTCCTATCCACTGTGGTGCTTGATATGATCAAAATATTTCTGAGACAAGATGCTGTTTACAAGCCAATCTTTCATGGTGTTCAGATCTTTCATGGTGTTCAGATCTTTCATGGTGTTCAGATCTTTCATGGTGTTCAGATCTTTCATGGTGTTCAGATCTTTTAGGATGTCAGTATTTGTGTTCTTCTTTGTCCATATTATTCTGAGAAGCTTTCTACAGAAGTTCAGCTCACAAGCTTATATTTCACTTCCCCAGTGACTGTGATAGTCCACGACTCACATCCATATGTTGCTACAGGGAAGATGCATGCTCTCAAAATGCTGACTTTCATTTGCATGCTTGTGCTTAACCACAGGCTTTTAATGCTGTTTAACCCTTGCACTGCTATGGCCATCCTCTTTGGACTTCTGTTAAACAGTCTCCACTGCTGTTTATCAGTTTGCTACAATCTTCTACAAACCCATCGGCTGTTTGTTACCTTCACCCCTGAAACAAATATCTGATTGTCTGGACAGGTAAGTATCTGTTCTGCACAGGTGTCAGACCGTTCACTTATTCTGACAGTTACTTGTTCCTCTGACCCGTTATCAGTGTTATTTTTCGCTGCCTACCCTCTACCACTAGGTGGTGCAGCTATAAGCTTGCCTTCATCAAGTCAAAGACTATTTTTAAGGGATATACAATAACCATATGGCAGCCAGCATAGTGTAGCAACTAGATGCTCGCCTGTGGATCAGGAGGTCATAAGTTCAAATCTGCACAGTCCTGGATACTTTTCATACATGACCGTGGCTCCCAGGTTGACCAAGCCTCAAATGGGTACCAGGTAAAGTCATGGGAAGTAAAGTCGGATGGCATGATACAGACCACATCAGCCATTGAGCACCAGTTGGTCTATACAAATATCAGTTTAGCTCACATACCTAATGAGTATTAGGTTAGTTGTGTATCCTTTACAGGACGTTGCAGAACCAATCCCAATAGCCTGTGTCCTGATGAGTGTAGTGGTGTGAAAAAGGACTGTTACTTTACTTTACTATGATAACCAGAATTAACAAAGATACAAGACAGAGCAGACATAATAACAGCCACCTTTGTCAAGTCCATGCCTAGTTTGAGCTGAGACAGGAGATGAAGAATCACACTCTTGTGCTCTTCCACACCCTCCAAATCCTTGTCTTGGTATGTATCCTCATCTGGAACCTCTTCTTCAGGATTAGGGAGGGACCCTGTCAACAAGAATACATATCCTTTTACATCAATACAGTTACTGTTTATTACTTATAACTGATATTGCTGCACTCAGAGAACACCCTAGGTACTCAGTCTTATTTAGTAAACAATTTGCCCTGATTGTTATCTGGGTCAGCATTTCTGAAAGTTCCTGCATAACATTACAAGGCACATATTCTTCTTCCTAGCGTTCACTGGGTGTAAACTCCCGTGGAGAGTTGTGGTCATTCATCCACTTCTGGACTTTAGTCTTGTTCCAGATCATGAGTTTTACGCGCACAACCATTTTACAGATTTATCTCATTTGTATGCAGACTGCTGTTTCCATGCCTTAGGCAGATGCACTGACTTCGAACGAAGGAAACACCACTAATTAGTTGACTCTTATGACATGCTCTTAGGGGGAACTGGGTCTATTATTTTTTTGGGCCCCATAAATTAGGGCCCGGAACCCAGACAGAGGAAATAATAACTCTCACAAAGCCAGCCGGATGTATAAACTAGCGCAGTGTGGGTAGGGATTTGCTTATAAGCATCACTTACCTGGCACATCCAGCAGGCCAGAGCTGATGGGCAAGGTTTTCGGTGACTGGATTCTCTCTCTAGAAATCAATAAAACATCAGATATAATTTTCACAAACATTGCAGTCAAAGATACCATTCAACAGTAAACATCAATATCAGTGTCTACACTGATGAGTGGTAACACATCAGCATTCCCACTGTGGAATTCTGGAAGATGATTTCTTTATAAATTATGTCATCAGCTTTGACTAACCAAATAAAGTGACTTCTTCTTCTCTCCCTCATTCGGTTTTGCCTTTTTGTTCTGATCTACTACTTTACTCTAACGAAATATATAAAAGTAGTGTTGAAAAATATAAATTCAACTTACGACCGGTTCAACCTACGACATGTTAATCGCAATGGAACTCAGTCGTAAGACAAGGAGATCCTATATATGAAAGCCGAATGTAAAGGTAGTCCCATGTCAGATACTGCCCTTTTGGATGTAAAGACTTAGGTCTCCACACACTCTACAGCAGGACATGTGAAGCTGGGTGCCATATTCCCTTCTTCACTGCCTTACAGTCCCAGAAAATTATGGAAATTATCAAATAGCCATTTTGTGTGTTCTGGATCGACTCCAGAGACATACTGGTAGGAAAAATGTTGCCACTTCCAGGGAAAGAACCCATGCCAATGTCAAAGCTGGCAGTCACACAAACCACTGTATTTTACTACAGCTCAAATGTACATATCCCCATGTGGCTTCCTGGGCCCCATTGGAAGGGAGGGGAGAGGGGGGGGGGAGAGATATTATCTGCCATCTGCCCAAACAATGAATTGATCTGCCATCTACCCAAAAAGTGAATGATCTGCCATCCCCCCAAACAGCGATTTGATCTGACATCTCCCCCAAACAGTTAATGATCTGACATCTCCCCAAACGGTGAAAGATCTGCCATCTCCCCAAAAATGGAATGATCTGCCACCTCCCAAAACAGTGAATGATCTGATATCTCCCCAAACAGTGAATGATCTGCCATCTCTCGAAATAGTGAACGATCTGCAGTCTCGCAAAAAAAAAAAGTCAGTTATGTCTTAAAGCCTATAGTGACCGTTTCAGATTACCCCAGATGCAGACTTGCATCTCAAGTTATTTGGTTCAATTCTGTAACACATACATTTGTAATAAAGTCATTAGGATGGGTTTTATCTGATCATGCTTCATGTGTTGGCACCTTTCCAACCTTCCAGATAACAGTATAATGTTGAGCTATGGGGAGTCAGAGGAATGACAGCCCATGGTGATGACGAGTGTGGCTAGCAAGACCCTCTCGTGTGAAGAAAAATTATCCACAAGACTTCATACATCATAAGTACACTTTACAAGACACCAACGTGAAGAAAAAGAGAAACAAAAACACAAAAATAACATACATGTTCTGGGCATTTGGACTGCGTTTTAATCCGGGCTGGAAAAGAAATAGAATATTCTGGGTAAATATTCAGTTTAAGAGTTGATGAGGTATGATGGTTAGTAGTATAATATAACCCTTGACCGGTTAGGGTCGTAAAGGTGCATTGATGGAGGAACTAGCACATAAAACCTGACATCTATCTTTGTATTCTGCTTGATGAACAAGTAAGTGTATGATAACTTAGTCCTGTCGATTTCTTGATGTTATCACTCCAGTTCTTCATTGCTCTCCCCTTTTCTGACTGGGGTGGGGGTCAGAGATTCTGAGCCCTCAGGTTTCACAGTATATATATATATATATATATATATATATATATATATATATATATAATATATATATATATATATATGTATATATTATATATATATATATATATATATATATATATATATATATATATATATATATATATATATACTAGCTGTACCCGGCCACGCGTTGCTGTGGCATAGTTTGGCTAAATGGAAATGAAAGAAAATAGAAAACGCACGTGTCTAATACAATCATTGTCTGCTCAGATATAGAAATAGTCTTTGATCCCCCGCCCACCACCACAACTAAATCCACCTACTACTATCTCCCTCATCAAAGGTTTTTTTGGAAAAGAAAGACAATGGAAATCGCACGTGTCTAATACAGTTAATGTCGCAATCATTCTCTGCACGGATATAGCGATAGTCTGGTTTTCCAACTTTAGAACACGCACCTTATAATTGTGTTTTTATATTAGTGGTCGTTTAAATGGTGTTATTAGCACAGTAACAAAAATGGTTATTTGGTTATCACATGCTAAAGCTGTTTGTATTTTTATAGGGACGGAAGTAAAGCTACAACTGTACTTGTGAATAACAAAGTAAGTCGTAAAAAATAGAAAAGCGGAGGTAGCGTTAGTAAAATATAAACAAATTAGGCAATGAGAACTTGAAAATCAAGTGTAAAGCTCTTTAATTTCTCTTAAATTTAAGTCATTACCCCCCTCCCCTCTTCCACCGACTACTGCTCTCTCTCCCTCTTCGAAGGATTTGAAAATCACTAACTGGCGATATTTTGTTGTTGCTGTAACTGACATTGACATCCCTGTCCATCTGGACTAAAATAGGGAGCAGGAATTGTAAAAGGTAGTGAATAGGGCTAGTGTAATATTTACCACATCATCCTTCAAGTACCAGTACAACTACTAAAATAATGTCACTGCTATCTGCGTTACCATCGGAGTAGACAGAGAGTCGTGAGCCAGAAGATTTGGTTCCGCATGGCTAGTGCTGTCGCCACAGACTGGTCAGGTTAGGATGTATAATTTCATTTGCCGACAGAAGAACGCCATAACCTTACCGGCGGTCTTCACATGAGAGCACTATGGTGTAACAGCCCTGGTGTAAAAACTATTACTGCTGCTGCTACTTTAAGTGGGCAAAGCAGTTACTGTGACTTAAAGCTCTCTCAGTTAATAGTTTGCCCCCCCCCCCCCCTCCCCCCAAATTCACCGACAACTCTTTCCCTCATTGAAGTAGTTGGGAGGAAAAAAAAAAACTTGAAAAGCAAACGAACACAGGAAAAAAACACCATAATTAGGAAATGAACGCCATTGTAAACAGCACAGCTTAAAATTCCAACACAGATGAAATAACTAAGTCTAAATGAAAATGAATGAAAATCTATAAAATTTCAGCGTAACCATGCAATCGGAAAGTTTAACAATGCAATCATAAGTATGCGAAATGGTCAAATTTAATTATCAAATGGTTTACCCATTTACTTGGGTTTTTTATTTTTTTTTTAATATTAAGGCAACATGGCTAGTGCTGTCACCACGGCAGAGCAGATGAGGATATTATTTTAGTCCGGGGCAAAAAAAAAAATTTAACGACTGCGGATTCGAACCCAGGCCTACCGCACATGAACCCAGTGTTCTAACCATTCGACCAAGCAGCCACTTAATAGGGACAACGAAAAGAGAACTCAACTATTAGACATGTGAGTCCATACTACTGTGTCGCGATTAAAACACAATTCAAAACCGCAGGCAATTGTTTTCTCGTAGACAGATACTCCAGATATATTAATGAAATTGAAATCGCACGTGTCTAACACGGTTAATGAAGTTAATGTCGCATCACTGCGAGATAGTCCTTGATTACCCCCCCCCCCCCCCCCCATCGAAGGTTGTTTGAAAAAAAAAAAAACAGAAAATAGAAATCGTGTTTAATATGGTTATTGTGGCAAATATAGAGATAGTCTTGTTTGCTGTACCACGACCTACTCTATGTATTAGTATTAGAGAAGGCGTTGGCTGCACGTAACTCGCCGGCGAATGGTAAATACGGCGCATGCGCAATTACTAACGTGGCTATAATTAGAAATCACTAAAGTTATAAATATTAGTTGCGTATATTTTGGCATAAATTGTGGTCACCTATCTCTAACAGTGACAGGTTGAATTTCAAACCACGACAGTTCAAAATCCGGTATCACAATAAACATATCCTGAAAATTTCAGCTAAATCAGTTCAGTAGTTTCCGAGTCTATAGGGGTGAAACAAACACACAAACATTGATTTTTATATATATAGATATATATATACATGTATATATATATATATATATATATATATATATATATATATATACATATATATATATATATATATATCTATATATATATATATATATATAGATATATCAATATATATATATATATATATAAAATATATATATATACATATATATATATAACATATATATATACATATATATATATCATATATATATATATATATATATATAATATATATCGAGATATAGACATATATATATAACATATATATATATAGCATATATCTATATTACAAATATACAATATATATAAATACATATATTACTATATATATTATATATTAATATATATTAATTTTATAAATTTATATATATTTATATATATATATTATATTTTTATATTTTACATATATATATATAATATATAAATATACATACATATATATATATAATGAATACATATATACATAATAATATATATATACTTATATAAATATTTATACATATATATATAATAATACATATATATATATATATACATATATATAATAATATTATACATAATAATATATATATATTTATTTTTTTATAAATATTATGGTTTCTAATTAATTTCTAATATATTTTTATATATTATATATTATATATATATATATTATATTCACATAAATCTCTCCTCGTGCAGATTCAAACACTGACTCTGTTGTCTCGGTGTTGGGTCACAGTTCATTTTAGCCCAGACGGCACCACTCTCCCCGGCCAAACAAACTTTAAATGACGGTCGCCAACAGCTGACGCATTTCACACGGTTATTGTCAATGTAACACAAGCGGCACGATTACAGATGAACTAACTTATGCCAATTCGGTGCAATCTCGCCTTGCTCACGCATTGAGTTCTCTCGCCATGCTTCAAAACCCATGGACACTGGCATGTGCACGGCTGGTTCAACAAACATACCATGAAACAGCAAACTGCCTGCCTAATACGATCAATTCAATAGCGCTGCTGCTGTCTCGTCGTTCAGCACTAAAATTAATTCGACTCTGATTCAGCTCCACGTGTGCACTTCTCACTCTGGATTCCACCTTCACAGATTCCAGCTTAACATCCTTCCAATCTGGGGCCCAGTCACTGAATGAACACCCTCATTCTCGAAAATCCCGCCCAGAATCTCGGCATTCACACCTGACTCACTCACTCTTGTCTTTTCACCATATCTCCGTGAAACTCATGCTATCCGGGACTTACCCAATTATGCCAGTCATACCCTGACGTTATCCCTATTTATAGCATCATTACAATACACACACTCATATACACATTCACTTGTCTATATTTATGAAACTGAACTGAAAGCACTTCATTTCCATAAGGCACAATTATCTGAATGTACAGTAGTGTAACAACAATACCGGAAGTTACCACATCTTAAATAATGTTTCCATGAAGAAAACAGAACTAACTGTTTGAAACTCTGGAAAGACAGCAAGATACTCTTACCTCTGCAGACTGCAAAATGTTGATGCAGTCTTGAATGCAGTGCAGTGTAGCAGCTGATGTAGCCTTCAACAGCAATAAATCCTGAAATGTTTGGATATAAAAAAATTACAGGCTGTCTCATAAGTTTCCACACACAGCAAACAAAACAAAATACTTAAAAATTGTAAAAAAAGAAAACACAAACAATCAATAGCACAATTTACCGCCTGGCATATCTCGCTGTATGTCAGCAGGTGAATATTATAGTAACAATTGATTAAAATGAAGCAAATAAGTGAATCCTTTTAATTGAAACATAAAATCGACTACAGTCAAAAGTATATAAGAAAATAAGTTTACACATAAAAAAAAAAAAAACTTTTATTTACATGATCCCCCGTATGGGTTCCGGGGCCCCATTGTGGGGGAAAACAAGAATAGACCCACTGCCTCCCCAAAAGCATGTCGTAAGAGTCGACTAATTGGGGAGCTTCCCTTTTGAAGTCGGAGTGCATCTGCCGGAGAGGCAAGGAACCAACAGTCTGTATTCAAGAGAATGAGATCTGTAAAACTGATGCACACGCAACACTCAGGTTCTGGAGCGGGACTGCAGTTCAGTAGTGGACGATCAACCAGAACTTTCCGCCAGAGTGTACAGCTGGTGAACGCGAAGAAGCAGATTGACATGATATGCTCTACATGACTGTGTCCTTCGCTGCTGAAGAACACGTATAAGTTCAGGTGTCATTACGCTTGTAACAGCGCTGATGGTATGTTACCTTTTTTTTTTCTATGTGGGAAAGCTTATGGAACACCCTGTATATGACAGACAGACAAAATGTCTGACAGATAAGCAGGCGGATATACCATTCGAGACAGTGACAATAATCTGAGCAGTGTAAAAAATGCAGAAAATTGTAAATAAGTTATCAATTAATGATAAAATGAAGATATAATAAAAATTGAAAATGGAAGGAGGAGAATAAGAAAGAAAGAAAGAAAAAGAAAGACAGAAAGAAAGAATGGAAGAAAAAAAGAAAGAAAGAAAAATGGAAAGATCTTCGGTATATTCATAAAGAGATTATTGTTGCCTGCTTCAATGATCTTTTTGTCTCTTAATCGTTAATAAATAACCAGACTAACTTGAATCTTCAGATTACTGACTGACACTCAAATACCCAGTTTACTGACTGACACTCAAATACCCAGTTTACTGACTGACACTCAAATACCCAGTTTACTGACTGACACTCAAATACCCAGTTTACTGACTGACACTCAAATACCCAGTTTACTGACTGGCACTCAAATACCCAGTTTACTGACTGGCACTCAAATACCCAGTTTACTGACTGACACTCAAATACCCAGTTTACTGACTGACACTCAAATACCCAGTTTACTCCCTCAACCATCAATAATCAATTTACTGTCCTAAATTTCAATACACAGTTTACTGACTCACACAAAAATACCAAAATCACTGATCCACATCTAATTACTCAGCGTACTGCAGGTTAATCAGATAAAGAATAACAGTAGTTAAAAGGTGAAATGCTCCCTGCTAAGCAAAGATAAAAACACTGTGTCTAGTGAGGTGAAATGCTCCCTGCTAAGCAAAGATAAAAACTTACTGTGTCTAGTGAGGTGAAATGCTCCCTGCTAAGCAAAAATAACAACTTACTGTGTCTAGTGAGGTGAAATGCTCCCTGCTAAGCAAAGATAACAACTTACTGTGTCTAGTGAGGTGAAATGCTCCCTGCTAAGCAAAGATAACAACTTACTGTGTCTAGTGAGGTGAAATGCTCCCTGCTAAGCAAAGATAACAACTTACTGTGTCTAGTGAGGTGAAATGCTCCTTGCTAAGCAAAGATAACAACTTACTGTGTCTAGTGAGGTGAAATGCTCCCTGCTAAGCAAAGATAAAAACTTACTGTGTCTAGTGAGGTGAAATGCTCCCTGCTAAGCAAAGATAACAACTTACTGTGTCTAGTGAGGTGAAATGCTCCCTGCTAAGCAAAGATAACAACTTACTGTGTCTAGTGAGGTGAAATGCTCCCTGCTAAGCAAAGATAACAACTTACTGTGTCTAGTGAGGTGAAATGCTCCCTGCTAAGCAAAGATAACAACTTACTGTGTCTAGTGAGGTGAAATGCTCCCTGCTAAGCAAAGATAACAACTTACTGTGTCTAGTGAGGTGAAATGCTCCCTGCTAAGCAAAGATAACAACTTACTGTGTCTAGTGAGGTGAAATGCTCCCTGCTAAGCAAAGATAACAACTTACTGTGTCTAGTGAGGTGAAATGCTCCCTGCTAAGCAAAGATAACAACTTACTGTGTCTAGTGAGGTGCAATGCTCCCTGCTAAGCAAAGATAACAACTTACTGTGTCTAGTGAGGTGCAATGCTCCCTGCTAAGCAAAGATAACAACTTACTGTGTCTAGTGAGGTGCAATGCTCCCTGCTAAGCAAAGATAACAACTTACTGTGTCTAGTGAGGTGAAATGCTCCCTGCTAAGCAAAGATAACAACTTACTGTGTCTAGTGAGGTGAAATGCTTCCTGCTAAGCAAAGATAACAACTTACTGTGTCTAGTGAGGTGAAATGCTCCCTGCTAAGCAAAGATAACAACTTACTGTGTCTAGTGAGGTGAAATGCTCCCTGCTAAGCAAAGATAACAACTTACTGTGTCCAGTGAGGTGAAATGCTCCCTGCTAACCAAAGATAACAACTTACTGTGTCTAGTGAGGTGAAATGCTCCCTGCTAAGCAAAGATAACAACTTACTGTGTCCAGTGAGGTGAAATGCTCCCTGCTAAGCAAATATAACAACTTACTGTGTCTAGTGAGGTGAAATGCTCCCTGCTAAGCAAAGATAACAACTTACTGTGTCTAATGAGTTCATATAATGTCCTGATGTTGGCAGTTCCTGGAAAAGGTGATAGAAATATTTACAATTCGAAAAATATACAACAATAAAAAAAATACAATGAAGAACAACACCTGTTCTTGAATTTAAAGTAAACAAAAATGTCTACACACAAAACTGCTGTCACACAAAAATAATAATAAATGATTAAGAAATTGAAAATGTCACACATTTTTAAAACCCGGTTCCATAATAAACAGTAATGAAAATTGTTTAACAGAGGTCAAAAAGAGGAGGATGGCCATAGCAATGCAAAGACTTCTTCTGCCTTCTAGTCCCTAATGAAGCATAGGCCCTCAACCAGCTCACAATGCACAGACTGCTTCTGCCTTCTAGTCCCTAATGAAGCATAGGCCCTCAACCAGCCCACAATGCAAAGATGAAACAGTATTAAAGTCTATGGTTAAGCACCAAGGAAATCAAAGTCAACGTTTTGAGAGCATGCATCTTCCCTGTAGCAACATCCGAATGTAAGTCGTGGACTATCTCCCAGTGTTTAAGGAAGAAAACAGAGGTTTTTGAGCTGAAATGCTACAGAAAGCAGGAATATCAAGGAAGCCTGGCTAGTTAACAGCATCTTGTCTCAGAAACTAGAATATTCTGGCAATATCAAGCACAACAGTGAATTGGAAAAAATAACAGCAGAAGGAGTGGTACCAGGAAAGAGGGGCAGGGGCTGACCAGCATGTAAATGGGAACAGGATGTAAGTGACACCTTGGATAAGAAAGTGAATGAGATGAAAGAGCTGGTAAGAGACTGAGTTTCTTTGAGCAGGTTGTGATGAGAGCGATGTTTTGCAAAGGACTTGCTAAAAGATGATGAAAAATAAACCTTAATTGTGGTGATATGGTGGTTAGTGTTTTTACTTTATATTTCAGTTGTTTGTTTGCAGTTTTATACAGACACAAGTTTGGTGACATTGTGTAGAATAACTCAATTATAGAGACAAAATGGGTGCTACGGTGGTGTAGTGGCTAACATGCCATCCCCCAAAGGTCTTAAGTTTAAATCCAATCGAATCAGATTTTGTGTTAATGACCTTGACCTCCAGGTCTTCCCAGCCTAAAATAGGTACCAGGTAACTTATTGGAAAGTTGGTGAGTGACATGCTGACTGCATCACCCCTTGAGTGACAACTGGTTACAAAAAGAAATTATGGGTAGCAGCATCATATGTTCGATATTCCACTGCCGTGAGAAGGGCCCTCTACTTATTTAATTCAGTTTACTTTTCCCTTACATTTTTCTTGCAAAAATTTATGAATGACAATGTTCCAAAATCTGCTCACAGCACATGCATTCTTTTACAACTATATATATATTTGGAGTGGGAAAAAAGTCAATACAGGAACATACGGATATTCTGGTGCCGAGATGTTTAGCAAAGTCATCAGCTTCCATGTAGAACTCTCGAACCTCCTGCAGCATATCATCTTTTGGAGACTTTTTCCTCCTAAACAAATGCAATAATATGGCTGAGTACAGAGATATGTTCATTATCTAAGTGTAGTAGTAATAGTAGTTGCAGTAGTAGCAAAGGTAGTAGCTGTGGTGGCAGCAGTAAGAGTAGTTGTTGCAGTAGTCATAACTGTAGTAGCAATTGTAACAATTGTTGTAACTGAGCTTGTCATGTGGCTGAAAACCATCCTGGCCTCATTCATTCATTATCCTGTCGGCTCAATAATGTCAAACAGGGCTCGCCAATCTATTCCTTAATTCCTTCTATCCTGTGCAATCAGTTTAATATCATGGATGGAACCAGCCCAGCAGCTTTGGCCTCTCTCATCAACGTTTGTCTCAGGGTTTATTTTGGGCGTCTTCACCTCCTTAATCCCATTTATTCCCATTGTAATGCCTGTTTGGTGATTCTCTGCTGGTCTCTTCTCTGAATGTGTCCAATGTAATGCCATCTTCTCGGTCTTATAACTACTGACACTAGTGGCTGCCTTAACATTTCTCTGGTTTCTTCATTCCTTTATAATTCATCCCATTTTATTTTCATCATTTTCCTCAGACACTTGTTTTTGAATGCCTTGAACTTTCGTTCCATGTCTTTAGTAGTTCTCCAACTTTCACCTGCATACGTTAAAACTGAAATAACGTTAGAACTGAAATAACGTTAGAACTGACAAAACGTACCCTGGTTTTAAAACTATACAAATGATTATTTTGGAGTCACGTAGTGTGCATACTACCCTGACCTGTGCCACCTTAAAACAAGGTAAAAACAAGCGTTAAGACAGTTGCAATAGCAGTGGAAGCTTAAGTAGTAGTCCCACGGCATAGACAGTAGAAGAAGCAGCAGCAAAAATGGTACCATATTTCTCCAGAAACAAGACCAGGTCTTATATTAATGTTTGCTCCAAAATATTCACAATAGCTTATTATCGGGAGATGTTTTTTTCCTTTAGTCTCAGACGTTTTCAAATTAGAAACCCAGCTTCCACAATAATCACAGTGAAAAAGGCACCACTATAAGACCTACATGATATGCTGAGCTACATTTAAAATATTTAGCCAGATTTCTTTTGTATACCCAGAACAAACAAGAAATAAGTAATAACATACCATGTGTTGCACTGGTGCACACACAAACACACATAAGCTGAGCAAACATGGAGCATTGCTTGGGACAGAAAGAGTTGAAAACTATTTATGAAATGAAACATACAAAGTGCAGAGTGCTTACGTGACTGCCAGATGCTCCTGTGATCCCTGAGTTTTTCTGACAGTGTCATTGTAATGAGCTGACATATTCTGTGTCAGCTTTTGTGTCAGCGATGGATGAGGTGAATTCTAGAGACACAGTGGAAACATTTCTTGAACTCGCTGTTTCATCTAAGTCTAAATTATCTCAAAGTAAGAGTAGAGTATAAAAACAGTAGGAAATACAATCACAGATGTTACATAAAATGACTAAAGACAAGACAAATCACAGACAATAGCAACAAGTGAAGTTATACTTTCTTACACAAATAATATAAGACAGTATGACAGACAATAGCCAGAAGTAAAGTTATATTTTCTAACAAATTGACATTTGACACGCTGTACGACAGACATCAGCAACAAGTAAATCTATAATTTTGCTTTACACACACATGCACGTGTGTACACACACATATGCATATACCTATGGTAAACAGTATGGTTATAGTGTCTACATACATTAAATGTCAGGCAGAATGTCAGACAATGGAAAGAAGCTTTAGTTTCTTACATAAATAACATAAGACAAACAGTATGACAGAAACAGTTTTAAAAAATTACTTTTTAAAATATAAATAACACAGGAGAGACTATGACAAACAACAGCAACAAGCAAGGTTATAGTTTCTTACACAAATATAAACAAGACAGACAGTATGGAGACAATAGCTAAAAGTAATGTAAGGAGACAACAGCCAAAGTAGTGTTACAGTTTCTTACATAAATAACACAGCACAGACAATATGGCAGACAATAGCAACAAGTAAATGTATAGTTTCGACATAAATATAAACAAGACAGAGACTACGGAGACAACAGCTAACAGTAGTTACAGTATTTTTTAAACAAATAACACAGTCGAGACAAACTAACAGACAAAAGCAAAATGTAGGGTTACAATTTCTTAAATATAAAACACAAAGGAGATAAAATGGCACACAAAAGCAACAAATCAAGTTAGCATACAGAAGCAATAGGGAGTCGTCGTGGCGTGGGCGATTAGACGCCCGACTGAGGATCTGAAGGTCGTGGGTTCACGTCTTGACACAGCCAGACTTTTTTCTTTAAAAAATGACCTTGACTCCAAGGTTAACCCAGCCTGGAGTGGGTACCACCTGCAGACCTGGGAAGTAAAGACGTCCGGCGTGACGCTGACCACATCACCCATCATGTGCCGATCAGTCTATGAAAATATAGGTCTAGCACTATTTTCCCAATACGCCTAAAGTTGTGGAAAACGGACTTTTACTTTTACAGAAGCAATAAATAAAATTAGTCTATTATTTACACAGCCCAGTGCAATACAAGCAGACACTATGGAGATAACAACAAGAAGCTATAACTTTCTACATAAATATCACAATATAACACAGTAGACAGTCAGAATTTAAAAAAAAAAATAAAAACACCTGTGCCATGTTGGCTGTGTGATATTCAGCAGTTGAACGAATTCGATCCACCCATAGTTGCCTTTCCCTGGCATCCAAAGCTGGAATGGACAACAAAAAACAGTCACTTTCATGCATCAGATTAAAAAAATAAAAGAAAGTGGAAGAACAGAACCTTAGTAAGACAAATTATAAAGCTTACTATGCAACTCATATAGACAATAAGCACAATACTGACAGCAGAGATGTGTTTATGAGAACAACGTAAAGAATAAAATGGAATGACAGAATAAGAGGCTCCCATAGACACATTAAAACCATAAACTGATTAGAGAAATCACATGTAGTCAGTCAGTGTTTTGTGGACATGTTGTGAGAAGGATAGAACAGACTCGTGGGAACAAAATGCCATGGACCGTGTTGTGTGCCAAGAGGCACATCAGGAAGGCAATGAGAATGAAGGAATAAATTATTGCAGAAAGGATGAGAGCCAAGTGTCTCAGAAGAAAAAGACTAAACACAAACGTTGTAAACAATGGTCCTGAAATCCCATGCTATGATTGAGGAAGACTTTCCTAACACGGGCGGGTCTTGCTAGTCACACTCACCATCGCCATGGGCGGGGAGCCCTATGCCTCCTTGAAGCGCAATACAACACTATTGTCTGGAATGACGGAAAGGTGCCAATCATGTGAGAAGGAATGGATGTAATAGCTTAGGTACAAGATTAATGAGAAAAGAGCATGGGGAAGGCAAAGGGATTCATACTTATGTACCTGTAGGGAAACACCGCCACGTAAGGAAACGAAGAGGACAACGAACTTATAATTTCTGTAAAATTGTTACAAGAAGGTATCTAAAGTCAATGACCTAGAAACTTGTGGGATAACCATGTACGTGAAACTTACACAGAAATGTTCATGAAGACTGGAAATCCCAGTTATACATTCAGAGAAGGGGAGGTAACATGTCTTTAAACAAGACACCTTTACTAAATTTCCTGGTGGTTTTCCCAAGTATATTAACCTCAGAGGCCATCGCCTGTGAAATCAGCATGAATGGTGGGAAAGAAAGAGGTTAATGAACTGAGGTACAAGAAAAGATAACAGTGTTAACGAATAGAGGGTACGCGAACAAAAGTTTTGTGTATTTAAAACAGTTAGTGTGCAACAAGTGACAGACAGTTCAAACTCAGGAGGCTTGGGTTAGTTGAGTATGTGCTCTAGGTAGCGGTCTGGAGGGAAGGCCACTGAAAGAGGTCAGTGCCAGGGAAGTGACTGGTGAGATGTCGCTGTTTGGGAGACATGGCAGAACTAAGAAAGCTTTGTGACACGCGCCAGATAATGCATCAAACATTCCTTAATGATCTGTAAGTAGTATTTATGTTCTTTTGCAGTAATTAGATAAGATAGAGTATTCTAGCAAATGTTGGATTGCACGGCACATGATGATGATGAATAATATAATATCCAGTAACTATGACGTGTAAACTATCTAACTGAACAGCACCGTTAGAGCGGCAAGGAAATGGGAACATCATGTGTATTAACGTTATGCCCTGGTAAATAATGCAGTTATGATGCTGTAAACAACTGGGTATGATCTGAGGTGGGTAGAGAATGGTATAAGAAGATATGTGAAAGTGAAAGTCATTTAGCTGGGGAAACTAAACTTAGATGGTCCTAATCAAGCGACCGTGAGGCCAGATCACAAGTACAATATGTTTTACATGTAAAGCCCGGGACAGGAGTATCAAATGTTAAAGTGAAATGGGGACGTAAGGTCAGACCAGGTCTGTAGCCAGACGGTCATTGTAGAAGAGGAAAGACATGGACATTCATGTTGTACGAGTCTATAGCGCACGTATAGTTATACATCGTAATATGCATTGATTGAGAAGTACATGTAGGGTAATATATAAGGGTTTATACAAGCGTGTAAGAAGGCGTGTTTGAAGTGAGAACTGTTCATTTGGCTGTAGTGTAGAATAAGATTTCTGCTGCTGCGTTCATGTTTATATGCATAGAAATGTGAACTTATAGACTGTGTGAATATATTTAACAGGTGACAGGCAACTGGCTGCATGACTAGACTGAGGTGGTTAAATTGTAGTCGGTATTTGGCTTATTATTAGTAGGTGGTCCTAGACTGTAATTGGCAGTATGGCTAATTGGTAGTAGCATGTTGCTAACTTGTAGTCAGCATTTGGCTATTTAGTAGATATCTAGATAGTGGCTGCAAGGCGATACATACTATGCTGGTACTGGTATCAAAATATGAGATATACGACTTTGTAATTCTGTTCTTTAATAAACATGATTGTTAGTCATTATTCTATTATTCCATTGTGAGTTTGTGAGTACAGGAGTTGTATCACTATTTAGTTTAGTGTAGTCTTTATTCTACTTTACTTTACTGATACTTCAATAACACTTTTTTATACCTACACTGACTATTACCTGATCGTCTGGGGTGTAGGCTTATTACTACAATCCCCATATAGAAGAACCTTTTATCTTCTCACACACCCATTAACTATTATTCTTCTTGTCTGTCTCTCTCTACTTTTATATCCCCTTTTCTCTCTATCCCTTTAAAATGCACCGGTTACACTTAGAAGCCTCTGCTATAGGGACAGGGTGAGACAAGAACACTGACTTCATCTGCAATTGCGTTCAAATGCAAAACATTGCAGCCTACATTTATAGGCTGGGCAGATGATGATGAAGATGCTGATGATATAACTTGAATTCTGACACAACGAATTTAAAATGTAATTAAAAGGAAAACATATTCAGTTATGTAAATCAATGAGTTTCCAATGACTTTCATGCAGATAAGAGAACAAGAAAACAGAGTGGAAGAGTGCCAGAGGAAGACAACACTACATGTTGTGGACATCCCAAGCATACAGACTAGGCTAGCGGATACTGATGAATGGCTGATGCTAACATGATAACCTTAAAAAGAAGAATGGTGAAGAGTTTCAGTAGAAACTTCAAGGTCAAGAGAGGAGATATTGTAAACACCTTGTCACGGGAACAACAAGTAGAGGTATCTTGGGGTGGCTGCTGCTGCTTCGGAGGATTAAATAGACATAGGAATGCCCAATACACAGTGATGTTTATTTTAGCAACATATCTTCATCAGGAGATTGACTAGAAGAAATCTGCAGGAGCACACAGTGAAGGCAGGGTAGGTGGTGTTACAAACACTAGCATATAGGGCAGTGTAAACACACACAGACATGTACACAGGAGCACACAGTGAAGGCAGGGTAGGTGGTGTTACAAACACTAGCATATACAGCACTTTAAACACACACAGACATGTACACAGGAGCACACAGTGAAGGCAAGGTAGGTGGTGTTACAAACACTAGCATATACAGCACTTTAAACACACACAGACATGTACACAGGAGCACACAGTGAAGGCAGGGTAGGTGGTGTTACAAACACTAGCATATACAGAAGTTTAAACACACACAGACATGTACACAGGAGCACACAGTGAAGGCAGGGTAGGTGGTGTTACAAACACTAGCATATACAGCACTTTAAACTCACACAGACATAAACACAGGGGGACACAAACTAACCTCTGAGCTTGAAAATCTCTCCATTAGCAGCACTGACAATAAATGTTTGCGAGTCCTCCTCTGAAGGGGACACTACTGCTGCCTGAAATAACATGTCATAGTCATCAGTGATCTCCTCTTTTTTAAAATTTGTTAGTGGTCATTCGAGGTTCCAACATGACTGCAGACTGAGTCGACCAATAACTGTTTAATTCTTGTGCCAGTGGTATTTAACTTCACTGTTAGAACAAACGGCCAATCACAAAAGCCAGCACTGCACTAACAAAAGTACATGCCATTCTTAACATAACTGGCCAGAAAATTAAGAAAACATTATTTTTTGGTAAGTGATGCCACTTGAATAGAACACACTCAATGTGAGAAAACCTGAGAACAATATAACTATAATGTCTTTGCACTGGAACCCACAGGGGCATAGAAATAAAGGAAGAAAAAAAAACATACACGGAGAAGGGAGCCAGAGAGTGAAGTTAAAAAGAAGAGGAGGACACGGGGTGAGCTGCATGCAATAGTGAAGGATACAACGATGTGGTGTGAGTTGCTTGAGGGCCTATGCTCCATTGGGGCTTAGACAGGCAAAAAAAGAAGAGGACACGGGGTGAACTGCATGCAATAGTGAAGGATACAACAATGTGGTGTGAGTTGGTTGAGGGCCTATGCTCCATTGGGGGTAAGACAGGCAAAAGAAGAAGATTCTACTTCCAAAATTATTTAAATTAAATTAAATTGGAGACTGCCGTCTTTTTATCCGTTGGTCAGGGGTTCAAATTCAAACCCTTCAAATTTAAGTGCTTTCTTTATATTTTCATCTTCTCATATTTAATGTCCGCTCTGTGGCTAAGTCGATGCGAACGCTTCGTAATGCCGGGATGCCGGGTTCGATCCCAGCTGCGGGCCATGCGCCTTGCGTTGGTTTCGACAGTGGTATCAAGAAAGCCGACCGTCCAGAAAGCAATGACAAACTACTGGACGTAAATTTGCCTAGAAAAACCACACAACAGCCAGGGGCTGTTGGGGTTGGTTCTGCAACGTCCTGTAAAGGATTTGCAACTAACCATATTTAATATCTCCGTTCTGTTCCTTTACTATGGTTCTCTCTCCCCCTGTACTCTGCATTGGTCTTTTTAAACTAGCTTTTATATTTCTCCGTTCTGAGAATCTATAATTTTTATACAGTAGGGAAAAAAGGACTTTTATATTTTACTTCTGTCTCCCTATTCCACCCCCTCTCCCCTTTTCCTGCTCAGGAAGATAAAAGGCTTTTAACTCACACACACATAAAAATAAAATAACAATTATTACTTACTGCTAAATGAACAGAGCCCCTTGGCCGCAGTTTTTTGTGCTCTTCTTTCTGTAACAACAACAACAATGAAAGAAGAGAAAATCCTTGCTTGATAAATTATGTGGCTTCCAAAAATATTCAAATGAAATGAAATGGAAGAATGCAGTCTTTTTACTCAAAAGGAATTCAATGACAGGGGAATTCAACCGATTATGAAAACTGTAATTATTTTTAAAGAAAGATTCTGTTGTTAAACAAGAAATCTGTTTTTGTCTTGGCTCTGACTAAATCTGTTAAGTCAAGTCTTGGCTCTGACTGAATTTGTTGTTAAGTCTTGGCTCTGACTGAATCTGTTGGTAAGTCTTGGCTCTGACTGAATCTGTTGAGTCTTGGCTCTGACTGAATCTGTTGTTAAGTCTTGGCTCTGACTGAATCTGTTGTTAAGGCTCTGACTGAATTTGTTGTTAAGTCTTGGCTCTGACTGAATCTGTTGTTAAGTCTTGGCTCTGACTGAATCTGTTGTTAAGTCTTGGCTCTGACTGAATCTGTTGTTAAGTCTTGGCTCTGACTATGAACGACATACAGAACTGAAATTTTCTTCATCGTCACCATCATCATGTACCATGCCAATAAGTGTAGGCTGTCATATGTTGCCTAATCACACAACCAGAATCATGGATCAGGTCAGTGTTCTTGCCTCACCTCCTCCGTGTGGCTAAGCCATCCAGGTATTTATCTATTTGCCTTCCCTTTGCTCTCTGTCCACCAGTTTTGCTCATCGTTACTAAGTTTCCTAGCCCATTCCTTTTCATCACATGTCCAAAAATATACTGACTCCCTAAGTATAATTTTTCTACTTAAATTTCCGCTGTCATTTATCTCAAAGAGGCCTAATTTGTTTGTTCTGTTCTCTAATTCCTTAATATTCTTTGCATTCTTCTCAAACACCATTTCTCTGCTGTGAGTAAATGTTTTTTCATGTTGTCTGTCTACTTATCATCCACATCTCACATGCATACAACGAGAGAAATTCTATGGAACTCTTTTTCTCACTGCAACTGACGTCGTTCATTGGTGTTTATCTTGTGCATTTTGCTATAGGCCACTTCTGCCATGGTGATTCTTGTTCTAATTTCTGGAAGGTATCTTGCTTCTAATTTATGACTGTTCCAATATAGCCGTACTGATTCATGTGCTTGAGAATGTTGCCATTTTCCTGTATTTTACAAAGTGGTATTTCTTTCTTCTTTGTGATGAAATATTCTAAACTGCTTATTGCTTAGCTCATTGATCTATATCTTGGCAGATCAACAACATCTAAGATGCCACAAGTAACAATTTGTTTTTTACCGAAGCATTGTATGCAAAGGCTGTCGAGAAACCTGATGCCCCAAAGCAGTGACAAATTAGATAGTTGGCTGGATGACTGAGAGCACGCTGGAAGACTGAATTTTAATTCTAAAGACTGATGAATTGGCAATTAGGTCATCTAAGCTCTAAAAAAGAACACTTGCATCTATCAGTGTGAAATGAGTGTAGAGATATTTCTCCTGATCGTCTTCTTCTTTGCATTCTTGTAATTAGTAGATCCTTTTCTACTTTAGGGTATAAAGGTTTTCCAGAGTGATTAGCAGATTTCTCGGTCAGCAGTCTCCTTGTGGCTTTGTTCCATTCCTGTCCTCGGTCAGGGACTGTCATATGTTGTCTTCCCAGTGAACCTTAGGTCACCCTGGTGGTCTGATTGCATGGTACTTGGCCTCATATGCCTGTTGTAGTGGCTGATTTTCTCCGTTTTCATGTCCTAGCCACATTAACTGTGAGCCACAGCAACTGCGTTTGATCCACTGGAGCTAGTAAGGTCTGGGTTTCAAGGTGATGATGTAATATCTGGTTATGCACTTTGCCCTTTCTTAGATTACCTTTCTCAGACACCTCATTTCTCAGGCCTGAAGTTGGCTTCTGTTCACATTCACTGGCTGTAAACTCTGGCAGAAAGTTCTGGTTGTTCATCCAGTCCTGGACTTTGGTCTTGATCCATAGCCTGAGTACTGAATGCATATCTATTGAATACACCAGGCTTATTTGTATGGACACTGTTAGTTCATTGCCTCTCAGGCATATACACCCTAACTGTGAAGGAAACAGCCCTAATTAGTGGCCTCCTAGGACGTGCTTGTTAGGGAGGCAGTGGGTCTGTTTTTTTCTCTAAAATGTAGCCCTGGAACACACAAAGGGATATCTCAGACAGAAAGTAACATAAAAAACTAGGAACCCTACCTCAAAGTACTCCAGCATGCCAGAGTCTGGGTTGAGAACAAACCACCTGTATTGGTATCCTTTGACCACGTTTGTAAACTTGAGAATCTGCCCTTCCATTGGTGCCCGAGAAGGCCTGAAGGTATTCAAGACAAACTGAATCCACAAAGAGAAGACAACAAAACTATACACAAAACATGTTATTTAATTTTTCTTTAATCTGTCAACTTCCTTTAATGGGAAACAAACTAAACACAAAACATGTTATTTAATATTCCTTCAATCTGTCAGTTTCTGTTGAGAAATTCCTGTCTACTATAAACTGACTACACAATTCTTTTAAGAATGTAGAAACAAACTATACACAAATCATGTTATAATAGTTAATTCAATCTGTCAACTTCTGTCTTGGAATGGTCATCTAAGAATGTAATAAAACTACATACTAAACATGTTAATATAATATTCCTGTCAACTGTCAACTTCTATCTTGATATTCGTGCCGAATCTAAATTAATTAATGATTCGTCTAAGTTCTAAAAAAAATTTGTTTCAACTAAACATTAAACATGTTATTTTATTTGTTTTTCTATTTAAAATGATTACAGGATTTATCTACGAATGACAGAAACAGTACCCTTTCCATGCTGGTAAAAAATCTGGCATAAGGTGCCAGACTTTTATTATTGATTTCTGGACAAACGGTCATGTTCACATTGCCTTTACTTTAGGATATTTCTTGGTTCCTACTTGAGACCAGGTTGGCCTAGGTGCCAAATCTTTAAATCTGTGTTTGTTTTATTTCTTACATATCAAAACGATAAGTCAGCATTTATAAAGAATACTTAAATCATATGTGATCTAATATGAAAATTTTGTTGTGGAGTTTGTGCACAGGGCTGAGATTCTCTTTCTTGTGTCATATCCAGCAGCTACTCATAAACTCAGGTCCCGATTCTTACTTCAACTCCCCTGACCCACAGCCTCCTTATTTTAACCAAACACTGATTCAACTTCTAAGAAATTAATGAGTTAAAGCAATGCCAACTTGTTACTGAAAGAGTCAACCTTTTCAGTCCCTGGCAACACCTGACACTTCCATGCATCTATCCCTTGATTCCGCTCCACTGCTTAATGTGCTCTCTTCTTTGTTTTAATTTTTGGCCACAACACACTTTAAAAAATCTAGCTTTTTCAAGTTGCCACTTTGAAAGTAATTCATTCAAGATTTTTTAGCCTGGTGATCTGTTCACTTCGGAAACTCCTGTGAATTTTTCTGGTACCAGAAAAAGTTAGTCAACACCTTGAGACTACAAATACTTGTACTCACAAAGTTTTTCCTGCCTTCTGAGACTTGGCATTCTCCTGAGCCTCAAATTCCTGCAAAGACATGCCAACAAAACACAGATGAACTTTAAAATGCATAGTTAAGCTCATCCAATAAATATGATGGAATTGTTATAGTGAAGTTAAAGTTAATAACAGACTTTGGACTTTATCATCATCACCATCATCATCGACTTTATCATTATTAGCACCCTCATCGTCATCCCCTTGAGGGCTCTGGAGAGAACAAGAATAGACCAACTGCCTCCCTAGCAAATAAGTTGTAAGAGGTGACAAATTGGGGGTTTCCTTCGAAGTCAGAGTGCATCTGCCTGAGAGGAACAGAACCAAAAGTCTTCATACAAAAAAGTCAGATCTGTAAAATCGATGTGCAAACAACACTCAGGTTCTGGAACAAGACTAAAGTCCAGAGGTGGATGAACAGCCAGAACTTTCCTCCAGAGTTTACAGCCAGTGAATGTGAAGAAGAAGAGGACTGCCTGAATGGCAGCTTGACTCAAGCGCAGTGGCTAGATGCTCCCATGCTGGTTCCAATTTGTTCCAGATGAATCTGGAAATACAATTTTTTTAAAAGACCTTGGCTCACAGGCCAACTTAAAATTGATCCCAGGAAATGTCTTGGGGAAAAGGCAACTGGAACACTGTTGACAACATCATCCACTGAGTTCCCACTGTTCTAAATAAACATGAGTATAGCACAGTGTGCCCAAAGCAAAACAAACATGACAAGGCACATTTACCTTATGAACTGCCTGAATGTTACAAGATAATCAGTGAATGTCTTCTCCTTCTTTTTCTTCTTCTTCCTCTTTGTTTTTTTCCACTTTTGGTGCTGAGTGAAACATAAAGATCTGCTTCTTGCTCCTCTGGGCGCCTTTACCACAGACATAACATGATACTGTAGAGTCTCTCAGATGTTATCTTTCCATGTTTTTAAAAAAAATCTACCTGATGTTCTACGTTCGTGTCCTCTCGTTATGTATGCCTAGCATGGTGTGGTATCACAAGGCATTCTCATTAGGTTGGCAAGCTATTTAATCTGCTGTCTTTCTATATAATTTAGAACTGGTTCATGGCCTTATTCCTAATATAATCTCTTCTGGTCACCTCTATAGCTTTTCTCAAACATCTCACATCTATGATTACTAATTTTCTTGTCTGGTTTGTTGTGAGTGAGCATGTCTGGCACTGGTAGCATAGGGTTTGTTATTAACATACACAGCAGCATTCACAGAGTGCTTAAGTGTGCATGCCTGGTTAAACAATGGTTCGGACCCAAACCCTATCAGAGGCAAGAATGTTTTCTCTAACCAAAATGTCTATATAGTCAACCTGGCCTAAAAAATAGGCCAACAGACAAACATCAGAGCTGTCTGTGAAGAAAAGGCAGCAACGCAGGGAACCACCCAATCTATCTCAGGAAAATGATATCAATACATATGGAGTATGAACAGATGGCTACAACCAATATGGTTTAATATCCATGGTTATAAACAGTAATACAAGCTGCAAAGTTGTACATCTACAACGAGCAAGGTTCAACATCTACAGTTACAACCAGCAATGTTTAAAATCTACAGTTACAACCAAGGTTTAAGGGGTCACTACGCCAAAATTTTTATTTTTTATTTTTTATTTACACACTGATTATTTTATAATGGTCATTTGAAGGGATACAAAATATTACATTTGCATACTTTAAGTGTAAAAAAATCATGGTTGTCATGGCAATAGCCGCCATCTTGGGGGGAAAAGTAACATGTACTTAGAATCCTTAAATTTCAAAAACAAACGTACATATTAAACAATAGATGATAGATTCATGATCTCTTATCCTATTTAGAGGTACAGGTGTAGTTGATTTACTTTAAACATGTTTTTAAATATTTTTTGTTCAATTTTAAAATGTAGGTTTATTGAAAAAGTCAAAAAAATCTTGCACCATAAAACAATCAAATTATTTTAAAAACAAATACTCTCTAAAATCTACTCTTGAAAAGACCAGTCTCTATAATATTGTTTAATGAGTATCCATACAAAATTTCAAGTTTCTAGTTTTTATATTAGGTGAGATTTTAGGATTTTACAAACACAACAAACAAAAATATAGAGATGTGAGAAAAAGTGACTTTTAAACTTCTTTTTATTTTAAAAAAGTGCATGGGTTGGTGCCTTTATCACTAACTTTTCAAAGCTAAATTGTTTACAAATGACATAAATTTTGTGTGTTATCTATTCTACAAATGCCGAACTATACAAAAAGGATCACATTGAAAAAGTGATATTTTTGTCATAAATTGGAAAAAATGCTGTGTAGTGACCCCTTAACATCTACAGTTACAACCAACATGGTTTAATATCTACAGCTACAACCAGCAAGGTTTAATATCTACAGTTACAACCAACACGGTTTAATATCTAAAGTTACAACTAACAAGGTTTAATATCTAAAGTTACAACAAACAAGGTTTAATATCTAGTTACAACCAACAAGGTTTAATATTTACAGTTACAACCAACAAGGTTTAATATCTAGTTACAACCAACAAGGTTTAATTTCTAATTACAACCAACAAGGTTTAATATTTACAGTTACAACCAACAAGGTTTAATTTCTAATTACAACCAACAAGGTTTAATATCCTACAGTTACAACCAACAAGGTTTAATTTCTAATTACAACCAACAAGGTTTAATATTTACAGTTACAACCAACAAGGTTTAATTTCTAATTACAACCAACAAGGTTTAATATCATACAGTTACAACCAACAAGGTTTAATTTCTAATTACAACTAACAAGGTTTAATATCCTACAGTTACAACCAACAAGGTTTAATTTCTAATTACAACCAACAAGGTTTAATATCCTACAGTTACAACCAACAAGGTTTAATTTCTAATTACAACCAACAAGGTTTAATATCCTACAGTTACAACCAGCAAGGTTTAACAACTACAACCATCAAGGTTAAACAACTACAGTTACAATCAGCAAGGTTAAACATCTAAAGTTACAACCATCAAGGTTAAACATCTAAAGTTACAACCAGCAAGGTTAAACATCTAAAGTTACAACCAGCAAGGTTTAACATCTACAATTACAAATAGCAAGGTTTAACATCTACAACCAGAAATGGATAACGTCTACAGTTACGACCAGCAATTCTTAACATTTACAGTTACAACCAGCAAGGTTTAACATCTACACCTATGAGCTGTAGGTTATATTTAGAGCCCTCAATTAGTCAGGTTAGGGCTTTTAATTAACAGAATAAATATTGTTAATATTGCAGCAGTATAATAGGTGTGTGTATGTATGTGTATAGTATATGTCCCACACCACTACCAAGAGGTCAACACAATTCTGTAGCCAAAGAAAATCTAGCACAGTCAACAACGCCAGATCACTAGACTCTCATTACCTGCAGCACAAAAGCCTCCAGCTCCTGCAGCAAGGGGAACTGGCTGGAGGTCGCCTCCAGCATCAGTTTGGCGCTGTGCTTGTCGTTCTTCTTAAACATGGAACTACTCATGGTTATCTCCCTTTGACCATAAACAGTTATGTACCCTGCATGCAGAGCCCGCAATTTCAGATGAACATAGTTTCGTTGTCTGTGAGTTTATAATAACGCGGTCACAAGGTATGTCCAGATATAAGCTTGCTATCACCCAGTTGTAATGTCCTGCCGAGGTGTTAGTTCCTACTAGCAGGCACAAGCAAAATTCTGCTTTCACTATTTCTTAACACAAATTAAGCTGATACACAGAATATCATAATGGATATATAGTGGCTATAATGGTGGCGCTGATAGTAATTGTTGTTATATCACAGTGGTCACTATTTATTCAGGCCTAACGTGTTTTGTAGAGTCCCTTGATACGAAGAGTTCCAACTGGTGGCTGGTAACAGAGGCGAATTATCCAGAGCGTTTTTTAGAGGAAGTAAGTAAAACTTTAAAACGTAGCCATACCAGGGACGCGCGTGTTGGACATAATCTGGCCTTACACGTCAGACGCGCTGTCCAGCACTGACAGGAAATTCAACTCTTTGTATCAAGGAACGCATCATACGTTCATAGGTTCCTACTTAGAAGACCAATGAACGCATGATGCGCTGATTTTATTACTTTCTTGACTACCCCCTGGGCCTGTGATGCTAAACCCCCTGGGACTCAAAGAGTTAGTGAGTTTTGCAAGAGAATGTGAGAATGGCGGCTTCACAGTTGTTAAACATTCTTGGAAGGTATAGGCGGTTATAACCAGACTCAAACCAGGGATAAACTCGTTGCATTTAGCAGGGTCTTAGTGGCGTTTGTGGCTTAGGCATGCGAACAAGCTTTGTAATGCCGGGGTTCGATCCCAGCTTTTACGGTGGTTTCGACAGTAGTACCGAGAGCTGACTGTTCAAAAACATTGGCGAACTAATGAACGTAAAATGTGCCTAGAAAAACCACAACAGCAGGGGGAATAAACGTTGGGGTTGGTTCTGCAAAGTCCTGTAAAGGATACGCAACTAACTAACTTTAGTGTGATTAATGATAGATAAGCGTTGACAGGTTCCTAAATGCAAGAATGACTTTGCATTGTTGAGGTGACGAAGAATCTATGAACATAAAGGCGCCGGTAGCAGCGGCTGAAAGATGTCTAAGCAAAGACGACCAGACAGCCGAGTCTTAACCGAGACAGTGTATATCAGTGCTATAATTTGAGATTTCAACACTTGGCGACAACCCTCAGAACTTCTCGCAAAATAGTACAGCTTCCAGGAGTCACGGAAACCAGCACTCTTCAATCAACAGCGAGAACAGACCAGAACTGTACAGAGGTAAAGGACAGTCGGACATGCTGAAATGGAGACGTCCATGTCGGAGTTGACTGACCACACGTTTGGCAGAAGGCTGTGTGCAAACATGTCGATAGACGTCGTTTGGGGCGCAATATAACACGTACATAGGAATCAACTTGTAGGAGATCCTTTCCGGCCTTGGCCTCCAGGTGATACCTGGCTGCTGAAGTCCTTAGGGCGCCCT